AAACATGTTGCTTCCCCTCGCCACTCTCAACTTGGTCTCAAGTATTTCAGCCAGTCATTCAATGAAATGAATTATGAAGAACTTAACAGACTTTCAAATTGTTTAGGATAAACTGAAAAGTCACATTTATGCTTGGCTACATTCCTGCCACTGTACATCAACAGCAAAGTAACTGATAACTCATGTCAGCAATTGAGGAACGATTCAACGCCAAGAAGCAGCTGTGTTCAAAAAAAAAACCCCAACCAAAATCCCATACACTTCCTTACTCAGACCTGCTTCCTTTTTGTATACAAAGTCTGATGTGACTGCATAGAAATAAGAATATTAGCTGTGCAGAGGCACTACAGGAAGGCAGGGTTGCTTCCATCCTTGCTAAGCCTCAGCAACAGCACTGCTTCTTCATCATTACTGGGAAACCACATCTTCCCCTCAGACTCTCACAGTCCCAAACCAGAGCACCTCTCTCAAGTTCTCTGTGCCCTCAGACTCCCTTAAAAATACAACAGTTTTGAACACACAGCAGCTGCAAATCTGTCAGGGTTTGTTGTCAGCCTGCAAGATCATATGCCAAAAAACATCAGCCCCTGGAACTATCCAGAGACACTAACCTCTCCTTCCCTAGGCCACTCAAAAACGCTGAGCCCAGGAGAGGGCTCATCCACATCATTAAAACAAAGGAAGACAAAAGCCCCAATCAGGTGCCTCTTGAAATCAGAAAGCAAGCAGATTGCACAGATGCTGTTGCTGACCTCATTTGGCCCATGAAAACTTTTTTAGAAGAAAGAGGACTCTCAGAGCATGGCTGAATGAGTAGGATTAGGAGCAATTCCCCTTTATCTTGATAACATAAAAAACAAAGCAGCTATAAACTCAGACTATCACAGCCTCTTCCAGAGCTCAAGAGGAATTGTGTGACCTAAACACTTCAAAAATGGCAACCACCTCAATTGGCCCCATGTCTCTCCTTCCCCCTTTAACAATAGAAAGATGACCCTGCACTGAAAATTGTAAGATAGAAAATGCATTAACAGGCTCCTACAGAAGACACACCTCTGATCAAAGAATATGAAACTAACAGCTGAAGTCTTCAAAAAAAATATTTCATTTCCCTCAAACTTACAGTTCAGTTATTACTAAATGCACAAACACAGACCAAGATACAACTGTTCTGCATCAAGGGTGATGCACGTTCACTATCCAGCGCTTCAGACTCACAGAGCCCAACCATGGGAAGAAAACAAGGCATCCATATAGTTCAACTTCTGGGGGTAACGGGAGTAGGCAAAGAATTACTCAAATCACAACAGTGTCAGGGCTCAACAGTCACACCTACATTGCAAGATCCCCCCACAAGCACACTAAGAGCAGCCCACACAGCCAGGGGCGTTAGCTTCACGATGCTTTCAAAGGTTCCAGCTTTAACATCACACCGTGTCACAACAGTAGCAACTACTAGGAAATAAAAAAAAAAGGTGTTTATAAATCCCCTAGATAATTTTCTGCAGGTTTACTGCCATCTCAAACAACAGCCATTTGAAGGTTCCCCAGGCAGCCTGTGAGACAGAGTTCCAAGGCCCTGCACTTTCAGCCCAGGGAGGAAGCAGATCCCAAGAACTGGCGGGTGACACCTTCAGCCATCTCACTTCCTCCCAGATGACACCAACAGTTTGCTCTGCCCTGTCTTAAGGTCCTTAATGATCGGCAGCTCTAAAAAAACCTCTAAAATATTGACCCTCATACCTTGGAGAGCAACCCCACGTCCCCCACGCAATCTTTGTGGTCCCTGGCCTTGCGGGTTTCTGGGAGGATGGACAGCCCTTGCGAAAAGTAGTGCATGGCATGTTCAGAAACTTCTCTTTCCCGTCTGCAATCAATGGAGGTGGTGCAGAGACTGGACACAATCTTCAGCTCTACAAGGTTCAGGGAACGAAGGCATGAAAGAGACAATACTCATACTTCTCCAACCACCAGCAAACACACACTATTTCCAACCGCCTTCAGGGACGACCCTCTGCCACCACCTTCCATGGCATTATTCTGAATCTCCTCTTACATAGCGCTGCTCTTCAGATTTCAGCACCTGGAAACCATCACTAGATGATGGTTAGCTCTGTCATTTCAAGAAGTAAATAAAGCCTAAGTCTCACGACTTCTGGGTACCACCTGATTTTTTTAATATCTAATTCATACTTTTCAAAAGGCTGAAGTTGCCAGTGCTGGCATATTTACATCCTACTGCTTCATAAGTTGTCAAAAAACCTTCTCACTTTTAATCATTTATTATATGCAAATTCCAACTCTACAACATTCCTACACAGCTCTAACATTATCATGTGTACAATTTATACCTCTTCCATTTAATTTTAAAAGACACTGAACTGGAACTGGTCTGGAATAATTCAGTATGAATAATACTCTCCTTCAATAAAACTCCTAAACATTGTTTTCCAAATCTAATGATGAATCCTCAAAATTTTATTTTCACTTTTATGGAGCTGCATATATTAAAACATGAATCATCTTCACAGACAACAAAGTAATTTAGTAATTCTGGACATAGTTTATTTAGCCTGAAATAAGTTTTTCTTTGATTATGTGTAGTGTCTGAACACATGGAAGATTCTGACACCTCCAGAGAAAGAAACAAAACGTGCTCTAATGATATGAGTACGGTATGTGGATAACAGAGATTACTTTATAACTTATTTATGATCACAAGCCTATACTAGACAAACTACAAAATTATCCCAGAATTCCATCCCTTCACTCTATCAGATACATTATATAGATCAGATGACATACTACACAGAAGTGAAAAAGAAAAGTGAATATCACAGCCCAACTTCTCGTGGCCATTGCAGAAGCAGTTGTTCCACTGCAGCTGTTCTCCTTCAGAGAAAACAGACATTTGCTCTGGTTGCAAGGCCAGCACTAGGGAGATACCACGAAGCAAGATATCACCTGAGCACATTCAACTCAGCATCTTCTGCAGGAGGATTTCCAAACACACTGGAGCTTTGGACTGTGTGAAAACTGTTCACAACAGAGACTGCCAGCAGTGTGGAGTATGCTTCTTGTATCTGTTCAGCTCAGCTGTCATCATCTGTCTTCTTCAACTGCACAGCTCACTGCCATCCTCCTGCAAAGAGCAGCTCCATCCCCTCAGCAAGCCTCGACAGAACATCCCACACTCAGTGACCACATGTATTCACAGGAACAAAGCCTTAGTTATGGGTGTGCTTGCATGGAGCCAGGGCTACACAGTCCACCACGCCTCCAGTGCATGATGCACGTGCACAAAGCTTCCCCTTAGGGCCCCCAGCCTTGTAAGACCCTTTCTCTCAGTGCCTTGCTGATATGTTCCAGCCAGTACAAGTGCAGAATGAGCTGAGACTCAAATCACTCATTTCCCAGAGCTGTCAGACCCTGGTCCCTTGCATGCTCAGTGGAGAGCAGCTTTTGGGTGCAATTTTGAATTGTCATTGTCAATATTTCTTACACATTCGGGCAACTAACATTCTAGTGAGCTACACCACAGCTCAAAATATTTTCTTCTGCAGCAGAGAAGCAAACTATGTTGCTCCTTCCTGTTTCTGCTATGATTAAGCAGCTGATTCACTCTCAACATCCTTAAAATATGACCGGACTGAAATTTTTCTTTCCCAATATAAAATAAATCCAGATACAAAAAGGAAGGCAACTATTTCACAGAACTGCAGGAGCTTTGGGATCTTTTTACAGATAGAAAATCGTGATTACACTGACAACAGCACTCCTGAATGTTTCCTGGCTTCTAATCTGTCCATGTGAACCCCTGAGCCTCTATTTTTAATTTAGTAAATTCAGTATCTGAATAACAATCTCAGAAACAACAAGGACTTAGCCACTGCAAAGAGTTACATGAGAAAGATCCTGCTTCTGACTTAAAAAAAAAAAAGGTAGTATGGGAAAACACAAACTTCCCAGAACTGCTTCTGTAAAACATTTTCCAGAACCTTTGAAAGAGTATCCACAGCTTGAAAGGGAAAGCAAAATGTAATTACAGCAGATCTGCCACCAGAGGATGGACACCAGAATGTAGCATGTACTCAGTGCACAGGCACTGGAGAAAGAACTGTCCTGCATTGCTACACCAGGGCCCTTCTGCATTCCTCCTGCAGTAGGGATCAAGGCACAAAGAGCCTGCACCAACACTGGGACTTGCCACACAGGGGTTTATCAGCAGTGGGACCTGAGGGAGAAGCAAGACCAGACAACTCACTCCAGTGCCACTACTCTTCTGGTGTTCCAAGGGTTCAGCAGCACGGGCTTTTCCTTCCTCTGTCTTCATTCTCCAAATGGGAACAACACAGACTCAGTTCCCTATTTAATCACATCTCTTTCGCCTTTTTAGGGAAGGCTTCACACTGAAAGAACACTTTTCTAGGCTAGTTTTTACAACTAAAGAAAGGTGTGCACTGCACAGTGTACATATACTATGGCAAACAACATTAATTGCTGTAGTCTCTGGACTGGGGGTTCTGCTTTGATATCCCAGTGAACACGGTAATGATGGAAATCAAAGACACCATCGCCTGCCTGCAGGGTTAATTGACACCTCTATCTTGAGGAGCACTGCTGTTTGAGTCTTGAGCTACACTCAGTCCAGGCCAAATTCACCCATCACTGTTGTGATTTTGTGCCAGACGCCTATTTAATAATTTTGAAAATGAGAAAATAACTGCAGGACAGAAAAAAACACAGGGTATAGGGAAGTCAGTACAAACGCCAACACACTTATGTGACCTGCAGCAGCAGAGAGACATGAAAACAGGACAGAAGGAAGGGGCACAGATTTTCACAGGTGACAACATTTTGCATTACACAGAAAAAAGACAGCAAGATAAACCAGGCTATTACTGGAACAATATTGTCCATCTTCTTAAATGGTGCTCATTCTGCTGTAGGAAATACAGTTTTATAAAGGACTGCATGATAAATTAAAGATGCATCCAAACCTTATAGACTTGTCCATATGTTCCATTTCCAACAACCTGCACCAGTTCAAATATTCCCGCAGGGTCCTGCAAAAAGCAGAAGAAATAACATTATTTGCATTAAAGTAACCACTTCATGTGGGAGAGAAATTGTACACAATCAAAATGAAACGTCTGTGGCACATCTCCTAATGATCTGCATTACACACTAAAGGGGAAATTGCCAAACCACAGTATAAGAAATGCATTAATATTAAAGTTTTCAGTCAAGTTGCTCAAAACTCTATACACAAAATAAGTCAGTGAAGATTTGTGTGGCAATACAGAAGATACAACAAATAAATGAAGGTGTGTGAAAAATACAAGAAATCAACTGCTGATTCAGTTTAGTAGTAGAATAAGGAAAAATCTCCAGGCTTCCTAAGCCTTCCTGCACTGAGCTAGCCTGGAGGCTAAGATGCTGCCCTCTGCCATGAAACACTTGGCACCAGCAATGTAACAAAGGAAAAAACCTAAACTAGAGAATTGAAAAAATTACTATATAAAGCATCTGAGCCCCGTTACCTTATAGAAGGGAAATGCACCATCCCAGGCAACCATAACACTACAGGCAGGCTGAGAACGCTCAACCGTCCTGCTCTGCAAACATAACAAAGTGAATTGGACTCATGTATTGAACTCTCGGCTTTGAACCCAAACTAGATTGCTGTTAATTTATATAAAAGATTCATGAAGTCAGATGATCAGTGCACCATTACACATGAAGCAATTTCCACCCTCCTAGTACAGCATCAGTCGCTCAAAAACTAACCCCTGCAGCAGATGTCCTCCTCCAACAACGAGATGCTGCAGCCCCTCAGATACAGGCAGGCCATCTTCTTGCAAGGCACGGGCAATGTTCGCTCCTGCATGACTGAGCACATTAAAAAATCTGGTGCTTCAGTTAAAACTCACTCAGAGATTTATATAAAACCATTAAGAACTCAAGAGACCAGTTTCTTCGTTTCTGGCTAAGCCATTTATCAGTCCACTCATTTCTTGCTATGGTATCATTGAGAGATTTATATAAAATATTATTAACTCCATGTGTCAGTTTTACCACATCTGTTTCAGCAATCTGTCATGTCAGTTGATGCTTACTGGTACTGCTGAGGAATGTGATACAGAAAAACAATCTCAGAAGTACAATTTCAGTGACCCTGGTCGCAAAAAATCCTTTTTTAAAGGTATCCAGCTACTTCTCCACTCCATTTATATGTTCATCTTTTCATATAAGTAATACTTTCTTCATATCTGATAGGGAAATGTTTACCTCAAGAAAATCCCAGTGGAAACATACAGGCTTTTTTTTTCTGAGCAGATTTTGCCTTTACTGGCACAACTGTAATGATAAATGGCAATAGCTTTCAGTGCAACAGAGCCCAGACTTCCACAGCTGAAAGTACTAATGAGTTCAGTTGGTTTTGCATTTAAGTTAAATGAGTTTTAATCTTATACTTCCAGGACTGTCAACCTCACAAGACTTTTTTAAAAAGCAATGCATAAACCAGATCAAGATCTGTTCTGTCTCTTATTTTTAAAACAAGTTAGTAAGGCATGGCCTTCTAGACTCAATCTCCAATTCCAAAAGCCCTCACACTAAACAAAATCAATGGGAACCCTTGTCTATGGAGTTCAGCATAGGCATAAGAACGCCTACCACACTGGGATCTCCGTGAAGTGCTTTGCTTTCTTCTCATTTCTTCAATTTTCTTTTTCTAGTCTGGATATAAATGAGCCATACACTTTGCTTCATTGGAGCAAAAGTCAGCAAATAATCCATCGCTACCTCTAAAGCAACAGGTGGGTGGTACAAACCTGTGCTTCACGTGCAACCTCCCCACAGAACTGTGCTGTGGGTTGCATGTGGTCCATGCAGTGAAACTCAGAGCAGTTTTTTGAGGAACTCTTCCAGACAAGGCCTTCCATGCACAGTATCTACTGTACTCTGTGGGAAGCACAAGCAGCACACCATTTTCCCACCTTTCCTGCAGAAAGCAACACTGCTCAATTAAGAAGTGCTCACAGTGCACAGAAACCCAGAGAAACCTAAACTGCATTTTCAACTCCAAGTTTGCAACTGTGCCTCTCACTTAAATGCGTGCTCTGTCCTCACTCTTCTTCTCTAAGCTTATTTATTATGCAAATATGGTAATCCAAGGTGCCTCAAAATCAGCTTCTCTGTCCCCCTCCAATCAATTTCATTCTGATTTAGCATCCTAATAGTTTGCTTCTAATGGTTGCTGACACTCTAGGAAAAACTCAAACAATTATCTAAATAAATATTAGCATCAACTTTAATACAGTGAAAATCCTACCATGCCCTTGCTAGCCAATTGAGCATTAAGATCTCAAGCCTCCTCAGTTCTGAGTGCAGCCAAAATACTTGGCCATCTCTCTTGTTTTAATCAGGACACCATAGTGAACCAAGCCTTGTTAAGAGTCATAAAGGATATTAATATGGGCTCTGACTTTGGTCCTTGGATTGCCCTTGTTTGCTTGGATACCACACAGCAAATGCTGGCAATTTTCACAATGGGCCAACTTCTTAATTACCTTGGAATTAGGTATCATCTTTGATGTAGTGCTTCCTCTCAGCTACCATTTAAGCCCCATGGTCCAGCTAACCCTTCACCAGCCAGCACCTGCCAAATTGCTAGGTTCCCTTTGGCAGATGCCAAAATCCTGGCCTGAACATTCATCACTTTAAGGTTAATTACCATAATACATTGTACCATATGGTGGCCGCCTTGCTTTCCTGCAAGTCATCTGCAGAGCACTCAGGAGGCAATAGCAAGACTGCTGACCCAGAGGCACCAAGGCCACATCCATCTCCTCCCCACGGCAGAATGAAAAGCAACACACACAGCAAGAGCTTGATCAAATTGCACTTTTCACATCTCTGCAGCTAAAGAAGATACAGGAGTTTAAAGCACGAGTTCTTCTACAGGACCTCTGCACCTCAGCATGTAATGCAGAGTTCAAGGGCTTTTTAGCCATCTGAGTGCCCTGGTGAACCCAGGGCAGAAACACCCCAGCAAGATGCTCCAGCAACATTAGGAAACTACATCCCCCCATTCTTTCCAGGAAAAGGGGAGAGCCCTGACAAGCACCCATTTGTAGGTGAGCAATGCCAGATTGTGCACTTTGAAAATTATGCCAGTCACAGTCATACCTCCCTGCAGCTGGTGAGAGCAGAACAGCACCAGGCAGCTCCCACTGGGCCCAGGAACACCTCAGACAAGGCAAAAGTAAGGCACCTGTATTTAAATAATTTCCACAGCTCAGCATCACCTGCCTCTCATTTCCCACCAAGCACAAACCCCAAACTAAGGCTGCTGAGTGCTTAAAAAGTTTCCTCCAAAAGGAGCCATTTGTCCCTTCCCCTGTCAAGGCTGAAACCTGCAATGCTCTCAGCCTTCAGAAGTTCTGAATCAGACAGTTCTGACACAAAGCCTGCTGTTTGCCTTGCAGTATTACTCTTTTTCAAACTTACACGATCTTCTTACTTATTTAAGGAGATGATATTCATCTGTTAAAGCTCTAAAGAAGAACTTCCATTACTTTGCCTTACACCCCTGAGCAGAGCCAGGTTAAACTTCTGCTTGCCTAGCCAGAAGCCTTTTGCCATTCTCACAAACTTTACTGTCCCTGCTGCCTTTCCTCTTTTTGCCTCTGGTCTGGAACACCCTCCTGCCCATGTGATTATTGCAGAGGCTTCTCCCAGCCCTTTTTTTTTTCCCTGATATTTTTAGAAAGTAGCTGCTTTGGTTTCACTGTCTGGGGATGACTGCTTTTTGCCACAATTGAACTCTTCCCTCTTCTTCTGTTGAGAGTGTTCCTGCCTGGGTTGGAAGGGTTGCTAGGTGGTCAGCTTCTATGTAAAAAGGCAAAGTGGAACTCGGGGGCATCGTACCCAGTCCTGTCTGTGGATATGAAACACTGACAGCATGGTTTTTAACGTGGCCAAAGTTTGGATTACATTAAAAACCCCAAAACTCATAGCAAACTAGGTGAATGCTGACTTTTTTAGCTTTGGGAGAACAAAAATAAAAAACCCCAAACCTCGACAAAGCCAAACTCCCACGCACACATTTCCTTCCAGAAGATCCTAATTCCTCAGTTGTTTTCTCTCCACAGCATTCTCAACACCTTTAGGAACGTCGGCAGGAATTATTTATTACCCTGGCAGGGGAACGCGCCTCTCCGGCGAAGCGCTCCCGGCCGGGCAGCGCAGCGCTCCCGCGGGACGATCGCTCCAGGAGGGAGCGCGACCGCCGGACCCCGCGGGCTCCGGGACCGGTGCAGCCCCGAGGCTGCTCCGCCCAGGGCTGCTCCCCCCGAGGAGCCCGCGACCCTCGGCCGCCGCTCGGGCATCTGCGCTCCCTGCGCGGGCACGGGCGGCACCGCCGCGCTGTCCCCGCCGCCGTCCCGCGGCCACCGCACGCCGCACCGGCGCCTCTCCCAGCGAAACCCCCTCCGACAAAGGGCGACAACCCCGGGGCGAAGCCCTCGCGCAGCCCTGCGGAGCGGGGTCGGGGTGTCACCCAGGGGGTTTCAGCTCCCGCCGCGGGGCAGCCCCCCCCGTCCCCCTCCTTACCCGCAGCGCCGCCAGGTCGATGCCGTCCAGGCTGCGGGCGGCGCAGTCGCGGGCCATGGCTCCGCCGCCCCGCGCTAACGGTGCCGCGGGCGGCCCGCGGCGGCCCGGCCGTGCCCCGGCGGGCGCAGGGAGCCGGGCATGCCCGGCCGGCCCCCAACGCCCTCCCCGGCCCGGGCGGCCGCCGCCGGCAACTTTGGCGGAGGGAGCTGCTACGGGGAAAGAAAGTTTGCGAGGAAGTGACGTGCGGCGCCGGCGGGGGGTCGGGGCCACCTGCCGCCCGCGGGGCGGGGGCCGCCGCGCTCTGCCGCCCCACGCGCGCTCCCCGCGGGGTGGGAATTGCCTCTGGAATGGGAATTGCCTCCGGAACGGGAATTGCCTCCGGAACGGGAGTTTCTGTGCACGTGTGTCTCCCGGGCCGAGAGAGGGGACGCACCCCGAGCGGCAGCCCCCGCGCCGCTCTCGCCCCCACGGCGCACCAGAGCGTTACACGAGCCACGAACAAAACCCCTTAAAGCCCCCCAACAAACTGCGTTGACGGCATCCAAAGAAGAGGGTTACACACACAGAGAGACTGCTAGCCCCTTTCCCTCGGGTAGCGGGCGCTGCAAATGATCCCACGGGGGTGACGGCAGCGATGCTCATCAGAGCGCCGAGCTCGGAGCCGCTGCCTCAGCCCCGGGGGGAGCCCGGCCCCGTGGCCCCACAAAGAACAGGGGCACAGGCGGCCCCCACGGTGCGGAGCTGGCAGCAGCCCGCCCCTTCTGCCAGCACGGCCCCGAGTGCCGCAGGCGGCTCCATCGAGGCACCGCAAACCTCCACGGCCCCTTACGGCCTCTTTCCCCCCGATAATTATGACCACAGAAAGAACACACCACACAGCTGTAGTGGAGTGGAACGACCATGGGTATATTTGGGCCTCGTGTTTAGAGGCAAAATTCAGTGGAAATGCACATTTCTCAGTCAAAGTCCTTAAATATTCCTAAAGGATGCTCAGGGCGTTCTCCCCTCTCAGGGAGCAAGAAATTCTGAATCCGTATTTTCATAGTTGCAGATATGAAATCAAGACGAAGTGGTCAAAGTGTCTTCGGTGCCTATAAGCACACAGGGGGAGCCGCGATGCCAGCAGCGAGGGGTAGTGTTGTAATAAAGGCATTTGGCAATTTCCTTGAAAGAAGTGCTGATGTATCACTCAGCTTCAAAGTGTTCTTGTACAAAAGCCCACAATGGGTACCTTATCGCTACAGCAACCCTGGATTTCTGCTCTCTGCCTGCCTGCGGGCCAGCATGTGGAGGCACTGCTAAGGAGTTGTGGCCAATTGCTGCATTAAAGTGGAAGTTTGTTGAAGAACTAAACATGTAAATGCAACCATGCACGATGTGGGCAGAAATCCACACACAACGACAATCCAGCCCCTCCACTCTCTCCCGAACAGCGCTTGGAAAATTCTGGCCCTCATGTCGCCTTTGACAAAGTTAAGCCACAGCTTTGCTCCCCATTCTAGCCTTCCTGCCTTACATAAATCCATCATTAGCCTTTTTGCTTGTGTTTTTTTTTCCTCACAATCCCTATTTATCTCTTCTCTAACCTCCAGGCTGTCCTTTGTCTCCTGCCACTTTCCACTTCCTTCCTGCTTCCCTGGTGAGAACCGGTGTGAAACTCCAGGCTGTTGTCTACCCAACACAATCTCTCCTGCTCCATCTCTTAGATTCTTTGCCAAAATTAATCCTGCCTGCCTTGCTTACCTCTGATGAATTCTCCAACTTGAGGATTCATTTCCACTTGACAGAAAGCTCTACCCAAAAATGAGATGAAAATCTGGGTTTAGAAGCATAACATGGCTTGTAGTATTTCTGCAAGCAGGTGTCAGTATCTCTGCTATGTGGTTTTATCACCACCTTTCATTGCCTTCCCCTCACTGAACCCTGTTGCTGGTAGTTTCTGGGGACATGCCAGTCCCACTCACAGCACTGCGGGCAGGGCTCCATGAGAAATTCTCCCCTTGCTGCCATAGGATGTGGTACATCTTTTCCCCATAAAAGCCTTGCAGGTCTAACAGAAGCAACAGCTGGTTTTGTCACCAATATTCACAGCAGATCTGCTGAGGCTACAAATGCCACTAGGCCAAGCCTACTTTTCAGAGTAGAACCAGATTTAAAAGCCCCGAGTTCTCCCATCACCAGCCTGATGACTGGTTCTACAGCCACAGAAACTGTGCTCCAGGTGTCCCCTGTGGTCTTGTGCCCCGTCCCAGCCATCCCCAAAGCCCCGTGCAGACAGGGCACTGGTGCTATTGATGACATGCAAGTGGGCTGTCCCACCTTGCTCTTCTGCATGAAGCTGTGTGGCAGAGTAACTCCCAGGAATCAGAAATTCAATGCCTTAGCACAATTGTTAATAAATTAGAAACCCACATTTATCTCACCAATAATAAAAAGTGAACAGGTTCCCTTAAGAATAAATTCAATTAAAAAAAAAAACACCCTAACATCCAAAGCATAACAAACACAAGAGACAATTAAATGCTATCAGTACAGCTTTCCTTTCCAACAGCCGTAGTCAAAACCCTGCAGCCAAATTCAGCAACCACAGACCTGAATATAAAAACCTTTCGAATGTCTATGTGCATGCAAAGGATGTTTTGTATTAGAAGGGAAGTGCAAGAATGAAGGGGGAAGAACTTCCTTTGTTTCAGCAAAGGAAATGCCATTGTACCCCAGAAGTACCGGGCTAATCCTGAGCTCTTCTGTCAGCATCCTAACTCAGATTTGGGTCCATAATAGTCCTACCAATAGTAATTGCCCCTGCCAGATGTGACACTCAGTAAAGGAAGAGAGTGTTTAAAGCCGAGGCTAGAATTGACATGCTGGCTTGCTTCCCTTAGCTTTGTTTACAATGAGGTCTCAGCTACAGGTGTGAAGTTGGCAGAGAAATAAACAAGAAGATAACTCATAAGAGAACAGGATTTCTGGTCTGCAGGAAATAAACAGCCTCTTAAAATGTGCATTTAGCCTGAAATGGACAAATTGACCCTTTTCAGTGTTTCTTGGTTCTCTGAACTGTAAATTCAGAGAAATTACCATTCAGAGAAACTTCAACACACACGATCTTCTTACTGAAATAATCCCCCAGATGCTGCTCTGGGAATGGACATCCCTGCTACCCCCATGGCTGCAGGAACGGCCAGGCTCGGCAAGCTCATGCCATATCTGTGACTCCAGAGCCAACCTTCTGCATAACTTCCCAGCATTTTCAGGATCCAAATTCAACAGAGAGCTCGAAACCCAAAAGCTCAGTTTAGGCTTTCTGCCATAGAGGTAGAAGGAAAATCCCTCTTCAAGCTTCTGAGTTCCCCTGCTCCCATGGTGGAGAGCCACAGCCTGACCCACCCCAGTGTGCCAGCTGCTCTAGGACTCCTCCCTGCAGCAGTTCCCCAGCACATGCTTCAGAGCCAAACAGGATCTCTGTGAACACCAGCTTTCCCTGACACTGAAATATTCCCTGAGATATTTATTTTGCTGGAAGTTTTCTTACCTTCTGCAAGGAACCTGCATTTTGACAGTGTCTGAAGTGCCTGATTGGACTGATACAGATGCTCTGACATCAGCACCTTCCTCCCAGAATAAAAATACTTTACAAAACTCCCCATTGCTTTTGTTTTTTATATGAACTAGAAATTTTAGCCATCTCTTTAGTGTTTCTTTAGGGAACAACCCTTGGCTGACAGACAGAAGTGACACAAAAGCCCGTGAAATCTGCTTGTAACTACAGACTTCACCCTCCCCTTCCAGAAGTGCTCTCTGGATTGCTGAAAAGAGAGGCCAATCTTTTTGCCCGATGATCTCAGAAAACATTTTTTCCTCATTTGTTTGCAGAATCAGAACATGACAAACTGTTAAATGCAGATTACAGGAGACTCTATGGGTGGCAGTGGCCAGCATGATATTAAGCCCAACACCCATCCTTGAGTAGCGTCTCTTGGCTGCTGCTTGGATTCATTACCATTTACAGCATCATTCTGGAAGTCATTTTATGAAGTCTCAGAGTACAAAAAAAAAAAAAAGAAAATCTTGATTTATTAGGCTAGTCACTAACTTTAAAGTTGTCCCCTTCCTTTTCCAATTACAGCATGGTTTGTACCGTGGGTGGCTTTGCTAGACTGTCAGGAACAAGATAACACATTAAAAATGTGTATAGGATTGCATACAGCCTGGGTATGTCTGCTTGCTAACTTGGTGGGAGTCTCACAGTGCCAGGAGAACTATTGAATGAAAACAGAAAAGCAGAGCATACTTTCATCAGGTCACACCTTGGAAAATACCAGCATAACTTACTGTAGCTGATGCAAAAATTTTTTTGATTGCACAGGAAAGATTTAAGTTTCGGGCCATGGACACCCAGCTACTTACATTCCAATTTAGTTAAAAGATGCTAAGAAAGCTGAACCACCAACCCAGTCCACTTCATAACTTCAGCATTTCTGGGACCCATCCCTGCAGTGCTTGGAAATCACAGTAAAATGTCTTTGTTTTCAATGGATTGTTGGATAGGGCTGTGAATATTTCTCATGCTTTCTCCTGTTTGAACTAAAGAAAATTCCCACTTCATTCCAAAAATATTAAGGCTGGGCCAGAAATTCATATTAAAACCTGAATCTGTCTTCAGATTTGCACTTTGCAGAGGCTGCTGCATTAGGATTGAGAGACAGGGTTACTACCCTGAGTAAACTGGAAATATCAGAAATCCAGACAAACAAACTAAACCACTCATTTCCCGTATAATACTCAGTAGCACATACAGTAGTTTTCATCTCTTTAAAAATTAAATAACTTTTTTCAGTTCCTGGCAGACGTGCTAGTTCTGTTTCACAGGATATCCAAAATGAGACCAAACAGCTTCCTTCCCCAAGGATTACTGAGGGGACAGGCAAGCTGGAAAAAGTGCCTCTCACTACTGTAATCCCAGCCAGGATGTCCACCTCATTTCCCAGGGTAAAACTTAAAATATAGGTCTCCCACAAAACTTCCATTAGTCCGAATCTGTTCACTGGGACTCTGGCAGAAAGTTATTTTC